CAAAATGAAAAATTATGATTGGTTGAATGCGGTTTGCACGGTTTGTACAAATTGAGTGGTTTGCATTTGATCGCTCCCCTATATATATATATATGAACATATTACATACAGACCTTATAACAGTGCAAAAGATAGTCATAAACTTGGGGTTGGGCCTTGTTTGATTTATGTGTTGAAGAAACGTTAATGTCATCTTGTTTGATATTGCTTTCGAACTCTGTTGTTCTTTGGTTGTCTAGAGATTGTGGTCATTACATTTGTACACATGGTCGGACTAAAAGATGATTCACTTCAATTGTTTAGTGTTCAATTGGATGGTAAAAATTATTCATGTTGGAGCTATGTTATGAAGCATTTCCTGGGTGGAAATTAATTGTCGAGTTACATTTTTTGTATGCAGACGAACGAAATCTACAGATGAAAATGTTGCAAATTATGCAACTGCAGTTGATGCTTGGGATACTGATAATTCGAAGATGATTACATGAATCAATAATTCTGTCACTCAGTCTATTGGCTCTCAATTCACTAAATATGACAATACTAAAGAGGTCTAGGATCATTTGGCTAGATTGTACACACAATCTAAATTTGCCAAACAATATCAATTGGAGACAAATATTCGTGCACTTCAACAAAAGGATATGAGAATTTTGGATTTTTACTATATATGCCATTGCGCTCCATGTCTGCATAATGGGACCGGTTAGGCTTAACGGAATCAGAAGCATATAACCTGCACTTTCCAACAAAATCGATCTATTTAAACCATGGTGCACTCCTTTCAAGCCTATGTTGCTGGAAGAGAAAAACAACGTTTGGTAAAAAATTTGATGGGCGTTCGTAGTGATTTTGAGGTATTTCATGGGACAATCCTACAGTGGTTTTTTTGTGTTTGAGGGTTTGGTAGTTTTTCCATATCATTTATTTATACTAGTTACGGATAAAAAGGCCAAAAGATGCAAAACACGATCATAAAGCTAGCCACAGGATATCAGTTAGTACTTCTTCACCATGCCTAGATAGGGTCTACTTTACTAACCCGTCCCTCATAATCGGGTATTTTTAACCAAAGATCTGAAAATTCGACGAGCTAGCCCTTCTTTAACTGGTTATGGGCAAGTTTTTTTTTTTTTTTTTTTTGAACGGCCAATTTATAAAAACAAGACTAGCCAGCGGCTAGACCGACGAGAACAAGAAACAGCTACACCATGTCCGGGTTACAAGACCACCTATTTCAAGCTAACTTGTCATAATCCTTACTTCTATGGGCAAGGTTATTGTTAACCATTTTGATTATCTCTAATATGAAATATAAAGAATTGAATGTTTGTTCCGCTAACTATGGAAAAAACACTAAGGGGTTGTTTACTCAAATGTTTACCCGATAAGTGCTTACCGATACGAGTCAACTCTATAATTTATTTTGATGCGTAAGATTTAATACATCAAGACGTATCGAATGCAACAATTTACCGGGTAAGCGCTTACCTGGGTAAGAGCCGTCATCTTCACTTACTGGGTAAGACTCTTCATCCTTCTCATCGCTCTTACCCGGTAAGATTCTTGGCCCTCGTCATGTTCATCTGATAAAGAAATTTATCCGGTTAGCACTTACCAAGTAAACATTTAGTAAACGGCCCCTAAATAGAAACTTTACTAATTTTATTTTGATCTATCGTAAACTAATAGTAATTAAATATATTTATCAAATTCGTCATCAAATCAAATATCTACATTTTTTAAACCACTAAGTATCTTCTAAGGGATCTGAACGGTTTTAAACAGATTCATGAAGATGCCTTAGTTCTTGCCTCCACATTCTTACACAAATTCACCTCTTTGCCATCCATTAGCATGAACGAAGCATATTTTTAGCATGATTATGTTCCATGAAACCTAACAAAAACTAGTATTAATTATATATGAAGATAATGACCCAAAATATTGCTGAAACTGGACCACAATTTCCATGTAATCTGGACAGTGACCTTTTAACATATTACCATCATCTCTTCTTGTTCTTACTATATAAACCTTCAAGCTCGTAAGTGATCATCAATCGACAATGGATCGTGTTGAATTTTCAGCCATGAAGGTTGGAAATACCATCGTTTTTCTATGTGCAGTAATGGTTACAACCATGATGAAGATCACCATGGGAAAGGGGATCTATGGAGCTCTTTTCATCTTTGGAGATTCGATACTGGACGTCGGAACTAATAATCACTTCAACGATAGCACTGCAAGGGCTGATCACCAATACTATGGCGTCGATTACCCTGATTCTGTAGCAACAGGAAGGTTTAGTAATGGCTACAACAGTGCCGACTTACTTGGTACGTAAAAAGCCCTGGCCTGCTACAATAGCTGATAACCTGATATGGAGTTTCCCATCAACTTCCTCTTTTGTTCTTTTTAATTTTGTGATTGTACGCTACAACAAAGTCGGGTTTATAAGACGTTTAAACGTCCTAATAGTATATTTTGTAGGACTTAAATTTCTAGAACCAAACAAAAAATGTCGTACCTAAAAGTGTCACAATAGGTTTAAAGGACGTTTTATATGACATTTTTTATATAAAGTATCGTATTAACTATTTTATAGCACACATTTGATGACTATCCTATAAACCATTTTATAGGATACTATGAACAATTTTTCAAATAGTATCATATAAACACTAATATGACACTTTATTTTAAAAATGTTCAAAAAAAAAATCTTGTTAAGACACCCAAAAGCTTGCACTTTTGGATATGATGGGTTATTTCTTTAGTCCTATAAAGTATCCTATTAGAATGCTTGGACATTTTAGGAATCGTATAAACCTAATGTTGTAGCGAAACATTGATCTGTAGAGTGATGTAGCAACGGAATTCTCATCGATAAACAATTTCAGCGACAAGGATTGTGCAACGGAGTTCCGCTGCGTATATATAGACATAGCGATGAACTCGATATCAGGAAATGATATATTCTTGTGCCTAGCTTCAAACTCGATTTCATCGACTCAAAAATGGTACCTTAACTGGTTTATTGATGTGCGCAGCTCGGTATATAGCTGACTATACTTATAGTCCGCCACCTTTTCTCTCACTCGTTGATCGTTCGGGCGCCACTTTCCTGCAAGAAATACTCGAAGGCGCAAACTTTGCTTCTGCAGGATCTGGCATTTTAATCGACACCGGGCATGAAAAATACGCAAGTCTCTCTTAATTTCCTGTTGATCACATGCACGGATCGAGAAACACAAGTTTTTAACCTTAGATACTTTCGAAATATATCGTGGTTGTGTCTTGAATCTGTTGCAATTAAACTTGTTTAATGAAACAGGGACGGGTTGTGTCTCTAGGGGAGCAAATCCAACAATTTTCGACCATTCGTGGGAATATCTCGGAAAGTTTAGGGAAGTCGGCCGCTAATATCTTCCTAGCGATGTCTACTTACATCATCAGTGTCGGCAGCAATGACTTCTTCGAGCACCAACATGCTCTTTCTCTAAATCAAACCGAACCCGAGCAACTCATTGCCAATCTCACAGCCACCTATTCCATCCATTTACAGGTTGTTTGCTTAATTCTGTAAAGAAAGAAAAGAACTTGATTGAGTTACCATCATATATCTCCCATGATTCATGAACTACTCACTTCCATTTTCTTCTCTTATGTAAATATTGGCAGAGCTTGTATGATCTTGGAGCTAGAAAATTTGCATTGATAGGCATTCCGCCCCTTGGTTGTTGTCCGATAGAACGCTTCATCAATCTAACGTTATTGCAAGGTGATGGTGGTTGTGTGATGGCCATGAATGATCTTGCACAAGCTTTCCACGCATCAACTGAGTCCCTCTTGCAAAATTTCAGCTCAACAAACCAAGGAGTCGTTTACTCACTCGGGAACACCTATAACACCATCTTGAATTTCATCGACAATCCTCGTGCTAATGGTACTACTACCTTTCCTGATCACTTTTTCATCTTCGATAACATCATCTTGACAATATCGAGATTCATATTCAAGAATCTGGTGAAAAAATTTTAGGGTTCCGAGTAGTAGAAACAGCTTGTTGCGGAAATGGGACGTTTAACGCGGAAAAGAAGTGCGAACGAGGATCAAAGCTTTGCGTAAATCGTGACGAGTACTTGTTCTGGGATGAGTTTCACCCAACTCAGGCTGCTTCCCGACAGGCAGCTCTTACGCTGGCTTACGCTGAAGGACCGGAGTTTGTGACGCCGATGAATTTCAGCAGTTTGGCCAACGTTTTCACTTACCCGTAAATAGCCCGGCCGTTTGATGCTCGGTGAAGGGATGGATCGGTTGACGCGTGATCATTCAACTCGGTAAATAACTTCACTAGTTTTCTTAGGTTAAACAACCATTGGTGAGGATAATAAAAACGGGTGGCAAGATTGTTTATCATAATGTATCCATCCATGGATCAAAACATAAACTTGTTCAATAATTCTAATGGAACTCCGAAATATTTTACTAGCTCCTTATATGAAAGTTAGACCAAATTCTCCTGATAATCAAAATACAAATCATCGGGAACAAAACTAATGTGAAAATAGATTGCTATAACGTATACTAATGAATTTGTGGGATCGAACTTTTTAGACAATATCTTGCTTCAAACTGGGCAATTTGTTTCTTGCTTTTTGAATTTAGCATTCCCCTTACATGTTGGTTATTTTAGTAAATTATCGAGTCATTTGGTGTAAATTGACAAGATAATGAAGGGGTTGATAGTGCAACCAATATACAAGTTACGAGTTATGGAGTAAACTCGTATAAGCTATATTTGAACCTGGGATAGCTAGATGTCGACATATGGCGAGAGACAATGGGTTGCGCCCTATGCGGTGCACAGTGGTCCGATCAGCGAGCAGAGTCAAGGGGGGCCTACCTTATGGGATGGGGGACAATGCCCAAAACCTAAAGGAAATTAAGAGAATTAACAATAATTATTATATTAGTGTCACGTGGATTTCAATTAATAGTTATATAATCATCAGTTTTAATGACATTGATGAATGTTCTTTCAGTCAAACTACAGATGAATGTTCTATTAGTGGCCCCAACAAGGGTCAATGTGGGCCAAGAATGGCACGGATCAGTCGTTGCATACACTGTGATTATTGATTATCAATAGATGTTGATCATGTCTCTCAGTGATTTGATGATGATCCTTTTTACCTTACGAAGTTTATTATCTGTGTATTCAGTTTCAGCGATCATCACTGAGTCTGTTCAGTGATCGTTGAACATGTATTGTAATTCGTTCAGAGACAAGTATCTTTTAAGAATACAAAACTCACACCACATATCCTTCAACGATATCGAAGATAGAAGTTGAAGATAGAGACTAGCAAGTTCGTTATCTGAATAGGTTTTCAGTTATAACAAGCTCGTCTACACAAATGTGAAATCTACGCAAGATTCAGCGAACATTAATGAGTCCAGCGTCATTCTAGTGTCAGCGATCAAATGAATCTTGTTGAATAAGATTAGTTTTTGTCTTGTCCTTCTCCACATAAAGGACAAACTCATATCTTTCTAAACTAAAGTACAGTACGGTGTCACTCTATTGTCTCCAAGCGTGCTTACCTATTTTATGAAAGAAGACTGTTCATACATGGTCAAAAGACTGTATACCTGCAACAAAATGACAAGTTAACTTCTTAAAGCTTGTCACGTGCTCTGTACCTTCTGAATTGCATTTAATGCAATAGGTATAAATAGCTGAGTAATTCTTTTTTCTCGATTATTTCATCCAACCTATATCAAAGTATCCTAGTCTTTGAAGATCTTACCCAAGAAGATACTCCTCCCTCTAACTTTCTATCTAAGAAAAATACTTCCACCTAAACAAGTGAAGAGCACAATATTTCTTAACCTATTTCCTATAGCAAGCATTTTCTTTATTGCTATTTGTAACCTATGTTATCTTTGATTGTTTAGATGAGTTCTATATCTTATCTCTTCTGCAAACAATCTGTAAAAATCTGTATTGATCCTCTTTATCAATATAATTTGTTTTAAAGTAAAAGTTGTTGTATTTGTATTCATTTCCCCCCCCCCCTTTCTACAAATTGTTACCTATAAGCTCTTGTAGATCCGGCTAGGACCAACAAGTGGTATCAAAGCAGTGTTTTTTTTGTGTTGTATTGTTATTTTATTATCTCTTTTTTTCTAGATAATTTATTCCTTTCAAATGGCTTTACAAAACATTAGCACAAACTTTCACGACAATGCTCTCTTGCCAAACGTCCCTGGTTTATCAGAGACAACTTCAATCTCTGGAAGAACCGAATGTATCTCTTCTTGGAATATGTGGATCTTGAGATTCCATACTACATTAAGAATGAACCTTATGTTCCATTCACAATCTCTCCAACAGTAACTGCTACTGCTACGACTACCATGATTCCTAAACAGCAGATTCTGAAGCTCCCTCGTCAATGGAGTGACAAAGACAAGAAGAAGATGGCTTTAGATACTCGTGTGAGATCTATAATAGTCATGGCTCTTACTGACGAAGTCTATCACTCTTTAATGAAGCTAAAAACCTCGAAAACCATGTGGGACACTCTTTGTGTTCAATATGAAGGTACTTTTGAAGTCAAGAATCGAGGAAGATTAATCTAGTAAGACAATATGAATGTTTTCTTTGTGGAAAATCTGAATCTTTGTCTGAAGTACATCAAAAATTTAGTTGTCTTCTTATTGATTTGAGAACAATTAGAAGAGAATATTCCAACTCAAAGACGCTAACAAAATTTCTTGAATGTTTTCTAGAATCATGGGATAATTATACCATGTGTCTTAAGATGTCCAAGGACATGTTCTCCCTTTCTCTCAGTTCTCTTTATGGAATATTGCTTAATCATGAGCAATACTGTCAGCTGAAGAAGAATCTTCTATAAGACTCCAGGGAAATGAAAAGCTCTTTGTTAGCTTTGGTCTCTGATAGCCCTTCAGCTGACCCTTCTATTTCTTTAACTCCATCCTCTTTTATTTCTATCATTGAGTTAGATCATTCTAACTCTAAGGAGTTGAAAGATGCTGATCTTTCAGAGTTTGACGAGTCATTGGCTCTCTTCAACTAACTCTTTCAGCTGCTACAATTGTCAATGAAAATGTCACTTTGCTAGTGAATGCAGGTTGAAAAAAGTTGTGATGCCATCTGAAAACCTCCTATCCTCCTTCAGGCGTCAAAAGAACAAATACCTAAAACTAAAGGAGAAGTACAAGAAGATGAAGAATCTTCAACGTAAAAGCAATGGTCTTGTCGCTGAAGAGCGTGACTGGGCTGATTCTTCTGATGAATCATTCTCGGACGAAGAAGATACGGCTTATCTTTGTCTCATAGCCAAGGATGTTAAAGATGAACCATCTGAGACATCATCCTCCAGTGATCCCTCGCCATCAACTTCTACTTAGGTATGTTACCTGAAAGAACATTCTTCTTCTTCTTTTGATAGTCTATTTGCGCTAGATATGCTGACGGTTGACCTTTACAATGCCCTGAATGGAAAATTCAAAGTTGAAAAGCTTAATCTTGATCTTCAAGAACAATTAGAGAGATGTCATTCAAAGATTAAAGAGCTGACCAAAATTGAGGAAAATCTTAAGGATCAGGTCATTGTAAATCAGACCATTAGCATCAAACGCGAGTAGCTGAGCGTGATCAAGAAATTGTTGAACTCAAGCCTGAGAAGGTCCAATGAAGGATGGTGCAAAGTCTCTATCAAGACCACTAAGATCATCAATGCTCAGATCCCTGCCAAGATAAAGAGTAGTCTAAGATTCTCATATGATCAGGAAGATTGTATCACTGACAAGTCCATGCTTAAGTTTGGTACCTTTGTCTCTTCTATTCTTGATACTTCTCTCTCTCTCAGTATTCTTCTACTGAAACTCATCTTGAAGGAACTACTTTAAGTTTAGGATGCAAAGACAAAGGTAAATCAATTGTCAACATTCCTTCTGTTCCCAAGAAGGACCGCAAGTCTAATAGACCCAATTTTATTCCTTCAACTTGTAAACCTTATTCCTCAGGAACCAAGATCTTTGAACGCCCTCACAGATCTAAGCCTAAGCTGAAAGTGAATCTTTCACCCAATGTATCTAAACCCTCAGTTGTTTGTCATCGAACAAATGAGAAAGGTATTCTTGGAGCTTGTCCCTCTTCTCTTTCTGACTCTACTGGCCCTAAAGCTTCTTTCAGTTTTAGGAAGTGTTGTCACTGTAGTGAAACTTCTCATATCGCCAGTAAGTGTTCTTCAGCTACCAAAGCTGGTCTACCAGATAAGGTAAAGAATGTAGCTAAGGCTGACAAATCAGCCAAGCTGAAATCCTCCAGTAAAGTTATGAAAACAACTAAGGTGAAGAAAGCCACAGAAGCCTCTTCTTCAGGCTCAGTGAAGACTTTTCCTGACGTTGAAGCCTCTTCTTCAGGCTCAGTAAAGGAAGATGTCGCCTCTAGCTCCATTGGACCCATTGAGAAATGGGTACCAAAGCAATCTAAATATGTTTTCTATTGCAGAAAGTTAAAGGCTTCTGGTATCTTGATAGTGGATGTTCAAGATGCATGACTGGAGGCAAATCTCTGCTATCTGACTACAAAGAGGAAAGAGGCATGTCCGTGACCTTTGGAGGAAACGGAAAAGGATATACCAAGGGATTTGGTGTATTAACCAATAGTGCAACCACCTTCAGACGTGTTGCATATGTTAAAGGACTGAAGCATACTCTTCTCAGCATCAGTCAACTGTGTGATAAAGATTTCATAGTTAAATTTCTGAAGAACTCAAGTTATGTCTATGACAAAGATGACAACCTTGCTCTTAGAGGTTCCCATCTAGAGAACGTGTACGTCATCAACATGGATTCTCCCTTCACTGAGAATAGTTGTTTCATTTCTAAATCCTCATCAGATATCAACTGGTTATGGCACAAACGTCTTTATCATCTCAACTTCAAGACGCTTAATGAGTTGTCTCGAAAAGATCTTGTCACGGGCCTTCCTCAGCACTCTTGTCAAAAGGAATCTCTTTGCTTAGCGTGTGAAAGAGAAAGCAGACAAAGACTAGCTTTAAATCGAAGCAAGTCTCTTCAGTGACTTCTCCACTTCAGCTATTGTACATGGATTTATTTGGTCCTGTCAACGTGAAATCCATAGATGGAAAGAAATATGCGCTCGATATCGTTGATGAGTTTTCCAGGTACACTTGGATTTTCTTTCTCAGATCCAAGAGTGATGCACCTGAAGTAATCATCTCGTTCGCCAAATGCATAGAAGTATTGAACAATAGATCTAACAGGAGTGATCATGGCACTGAATTCAAAAACAGTACCATTGATGACTTCTTTGTGAACAAGGGAATCTCACACAACTTCTTAGCTGTGAGAAATCCACAACAAAATGGGGTCGCTGAAAGGAGAAATTGAACGATTATTGAAGCCGCTTGATCAATGCTCAGCGAATCTCGTATCCCTACTCAACTCTGGGTAGAAGCTATTAGCACTGTTTGTTTTACTCAGAACAGGTCACTGGTCATAAAGAGATTCAAGAAGAAGCTTACGAACTCTTCCATAGCAAAAAGTCTTCTCTCAACTTTCTTCATATCGTTGGATGTACATGCTATATATTAAACAACAGAGATCAACTTGGAAAGTTCGATCCAAAACTGATGAATGAATCTTTTTTGGATATTCTTCAATGTCCAAAGCCTTTAGAGTATTCAACAAAAGACGACAAACAATAGAAGAATCTATTCATGTCACCTTTCATGAATCTCAATCAGCTAACTCTAAACCCATCTCTGAAGATGATGAAGAGTTGGACAACCATATGACATCTCACCATGGAGAACCTAAAGCTTTGTTCAGCAATCAACCGAGCGATCACCTTCCTGAAGCTGATGATGATTCATTCGTCATTCCATATATGACTAATAACGGAGTTGAATCCTCTTCAGGGATTGTTTTCGTTCCCATTAGTCACTTGCCCGCCTTCTACTTCAAATACTGACCTTTCAGTCGTTGAATCTCGTTCAGTCACTGGACCTTTATCAGTAAATGAATCACTCTATGAGGCTTCTTTGAAAATTTAGATTGTTCCTGAATCCTGATCTTCTATCCATGAGCATCTGGTATCAGAAGGTTATCTTCAACTAGCTCAACGATGGATGAAAGACCACCCCATCCATCAAATTCTTGGTGATCCAAGGGCAGGTATTCAGATTCATCGCGGTCTAGGTAATATGTCTCTTCGTCAACTTTCTTTCTCCAATTGAGCCCAAGAAAATCAATGAGCCTATCACTGACCTAAGCTAGGTCACTGATATGTAAGAAGAACTTAATGAGTTTGATAGGAACAAAGTTTGGTACCTTGCCCTGCGTCCATCTGACAAAACTATAATAGGCACCAAATGAGTTTATCGCAATAAGTTAGATGAACAAGGAGTTGTAACCTGTAACAAAGCTCGTCTTGTTGCTCATGGATACAAGAAAGAAGAAGGAATCGATTATGACGAAAACTTCGCACCAGTGGCTAGACTCGAAACTATTCGACTCTTTCTAGCTTATGCTGCCCATAAGGACTTTAAAGTCTACCAAATGGATGTAAAGAGCGTTTTTATGAATGGAAAACTTCAGGAGGAAGTTTATGTTGAACAACCTCCAGGGTTTCTTGACCCAAAATATCCTAATCATGTCTATCAATTGGATAAAGCTCTTTATGGGTTAAAACAGGTCACTCGTGCCCGGTATGACACCCTTTCTTCATTTCTCATCTCTAAGAAATTTGTCCATGGAAAGATTGACCAGACTCTATTTCTTAGTAAAGTCAAGGGTCATATCATTCTAGTCCAAGTTTATGTCGATGATATTATATTTAATTCCATTAATCCCTCTTTGTGTTTTCGGTTCGTTGAACGCATGAAGAAAGAATATCATATGAGCATGATGGGAGAACTGGCTTACTTTCTAGGTCTTCAGATCAAACAATCTGATAAAGGCATCTTTATCAATCAGAGTAAGTATGTCAGGCATATTTTGAAGAAATTCGACTTAACCAACAGTTCATCAATGAAGACTCCAATCACTCCTCCTCTCTCATTGAACAAGGATCCAAATGGAAAGCCTGTAAATGTTACTGTTTATAGAGGAATGATCGGATCCTTGTTGTATCTCACAGCTAGCCGACCTGATATTCTTTCTCTCCAACAATGAAACCAAGGAAAAGGAGCCTATTGGTGTAGAAACTACACTTCTTTGTATTTATATACAACTTGTTCACTTATAGAACTGTTAAGATTTGTTGTAGGTGGTCTAAGTGCTCCTTTTTATTTTAACTATAAATAAGAATATCATGGAAATAAACTATCACAAAGGAATTGACTTGATTCATCATCCCCATGAAAGTGCTTGGCGCATTTGATGTTCCGAAGGACATTGCCAACCATTCATAAAGTTCAAAAGGCCTTTTGAATGACATCTTCCATTCATCACCGGGATAGATTTGAATTTGATGATAACCACTGCAAAGTTTGATCTTTAAAAAGATGGTAGATATGGATAGTTCATCGTGCATGTCTTCCAATCATGGAATGGGAAACACGGTACTTGATGATGATTTTGTTGATAGCACATATGCCAATGCACATTCGCCATTTATTTCCTTTTTAGGCACTAGTAGGACGAGAATGACACAAGAACTTAGGCATTCCCGGATGAACCTTTTTCCAGCAAGTCATCCACTTGTTCCGTTAGGATCTCATTTTCTTTTGGAATCATATAGTAATGTGGTAAATTTGGTAGACTAGCGTCGGGAATCAAATTGATTTGATGTTGGATGTCCCTCATAGGAGGCAGTTTGGGAGGTATATCATCTGCGACTATTTCTTTGAACTCCTCTAGCAACTCCTTAATTTTCGTTGAGATTTCATTTTCGGCTTTTTAAGTATTCAATAAGCCTTTGACCACCATGGAATAGAAAGCTTGAGCTTCTTTGACGCCAGCTTCTAGCACTTGTTCATTAGTATTCATGATTAGAAAGTTATTGTTTTTTGTTTTTGGGTCCCTTCTCAAAGTGAGAGACTGGGGCCATGCGAATTTATGGGTACCCTAAAGGAATCGTATCATGTTATCTCGCCCTTTGTAGGTAACATCATTATCATATTGCCAAGGTCAGCCCAGTAGTACATGACATGAATCCATGTCAAGAACATCACAAATGACTTCTTCTTTGTAGTGCTTTCTGATGGATATAAGACTTTTCAAATTTGTGTAACTTTGAATTAAGGACCCTTTTTACCAACCTAGAGCATAGAGGGAATTGTGGGATTGATTTGGGAGACCCAAGTGATCAGCCAACTTTTGGGGCACCAAGTTTTTATTACTACCATTATCAATAATTAGATAACATACTTTTTTGTTGAACGAGCAATGGGATCGAAAGATGTTCTTTCGTTGACCTCCTTCTTTTGGCATTAGTAAGACTCGTTGGAGCATGATGTTGAAATTTCCTCTAGGTTTTCTTTTGCAAATTTGGCTCTTTCATATTCGTCGCCCTCTTTTTCTTCCTCACCATCCGCTAGTCCCACTGTTCGATGGTTTGGGAATTTGTTGGACCTATGTCCCGATTAGCCTCATTGATAGTATTTAATACATGTTGGTCTAGCATACAAGTTGCCTATCATTAGGTTTGTTGTTGAATTTTGGATGTTAGTGATATTGTTTTGGGGAGTTAAGCTTTCCGTTGCACTTTTACCTCTATTAATGGTTGTGTTGGCGTTTCCAGCTGGACCTTATGGTGTATAACGGAGATAGGATGATACACAGGCGAACTTCTCTTTTAAATCGACCCTCAGGACCAAACTAGATGCTTCCATCACAATCCATACGGGTTTAAAAAACTGATCTTTTCTTGAATAGATCTTTTAAGCTCACTAATGTAACGTGCAACATGTTTTCCTTCCGTCTCATTGATTTTATTGTGTTTAGAAAGATGAAGAAACTCGGTTGTGTAGTTGGTTACCGTTCGCGTCCCTTAGTTGCACCCAATCTACATCTTACAGAGGATTTGCTCATATTCTTCTAGTAAAAATCGTTATATCATTAGTCATTTCATCCATCTCCAAGATCATACTGGTCCTCTATGCTAGCGTTGTCGTCAGACCACTAGTTTATACCACCATACGGTAGTGGTGCTTTTTATACAGAAATCTGCTATCTTTATTTGTTTTTTATGGCCCTCCATAACTTCGAAGAAGTGATCCACTTTGATTTGCCAGTCTAAAAGAACTCTTCAGCTCCCATAGTTCCATAGTTCCAATAGAATGGAATATATGCCTTCATTTGGTAGTCGTGTTCATTGTTTTGTGGGGTTGGTGGTTCATCTTCCTCGACTTTAGATTCAGAACTAGAATTAGAAGTTCATTTTTTTGTGACATCCTCGTAAGATTTGGTTTGGTTCTTCATGTTTATCCCTCCTCCGGCGATTGTTGTTGTCAAGATTGGTTCGAAGCTGATTAACAGCTGCTGTCAGATTAGCAAATGCTAGAAAAGGCCACAATCAACTAGGCTATATTTGCTTTGGTAGCGAGTTGTTGATCGGTCATGTTTAGTAAAAGGTCAGAATGCAGCGGAAATTACGAAAAAGTTTTGATGGACGTCTAAACCCTAGAAAATAACAAGCTTACAAATGTAATTACTTGAAAACTATGAGAAATTCTCAATGGAAACATATATTAATAATTCAAAAAGTATGAAAACAAACTAATACTTTGAGTTCTTTAAATAGCAAAGTAAACTAATTAGATTAGGAAATAAAAAGCTTAGTAATCATCTAGACTAAATAAAGATAAGGAGGAAATTAAGGAAATGCCGCATAGTATCCAGGCCAGACATGTGCAGATTTCTACACGGCCTAAGCCACGGGGATGGTCGCAGGACTCACTGTCCGATGCTCCAGTGAGTTGCGCGGCTTGGTGCGCAACCCAAGCCGCGAGAAAGACTATTTGATTTTCTCTTCGATTTCAGTTGCAGTTCTCTCTATATCATCTAACTATTACATTTCTTGATAAGCAGCGTTAGCATTTAGCACATTAACCTTGAGAGGAAACAAGTTATTCACTCGAATTATTGTTGATTTGCAACAAATTGATTTTCTTCTTCATGGTGCAAAGATTATGAGCAAAACTAATATCAACTTATCTTTGCACATAAAATACCTCTGACATCTTTTCAACTTTAACATTTTTTGTTCTAGATTTTGTTCAATACTTCGAATTTGTAGGTCTTGGCATCTCCTATGTAACTTGCCCATTGTTAATTTTCATAAGAGTCGAAAACAAACTTTTGTTTCCAATCATATGTCGTCTTGCTCCACTATCTAACTATCGAGAATCCAAAAAGGTTTTCTATATTTTTATGCATAAAACTAGTTTCATATATAAACCGACAATCAGATACCTTATTTGCTGGTTATCGAAGGATTCACTATGAGAAAATAAAGCTTTGGCAACGACGCTTACAGTGACAAACAATGGTTAGTCACTAAAACCAATATGTATCGATGACAAGTACGTCAAGCTAACAATTAATGTAATTTTTTTTCTAAAAGAAAATATTCTACAGGAGGGTTTCTAAAATATTATATTACTTATAACGACAACAAGTCATGAATATAGGTATTTAATGAAAAAAAATGTTTTTTAATAATTAAAATATGGTAATTACTCTTAAGACAATTTAATAAATAAAGAACCAGGACCGAAGACGCAAGCAGAAGGGTGTTGCTTCCTTGATCTTCTACGTTTAATGAATTGCCACAACAGTGATCGCATATTGATGACTAAATATAAGATATAGTTACAAACTTCAATGTGTTGATTTATTATTCACAATAACACCTCCAATACGTTCTGTTGGATGCATTTAGAAGTGTAAACCGTAATTGCTCGCTCCCAAATACTATAGTGTTCACTATCGTCCAATAGTATAACCACCATCACGAACCCAACAAAATAAAAATATTGATAATGACGATGAGCAGTTAAGGAACTAACAACTTATTTATTAGTTGTATTTTACATTTTTATCACTTCATTTTATGCACTTAACTTAATTTGTGTATATGGTTGTTATATGTTTTTAATTCTTGATCTGTTTTACAATTAATTTTAAGTTGTATATATAAAAAATTGCAAAAAAAAAATATATATATATTTGTCATGACTTATCCAATTCTAGAAGCCATTTTCAAAAATAAGTTAGTTTTAGGGACCATTATTTCAAATTAAAGAAAAAGTACTTTTAACAACGACATTTGATGAAGTGTTGTCGCTATTTGATGTCATTTCATCAAATTAAACAAAAGGTACCTTTTTATCGATATGTTGTCAAATATTATTGGTATACTATTTGATACCCTTTCAGTAAATTTGAAAAAAAAAACCTTTTCGACGACACGTTGCACTGTTTGTTTAAAGGTTGCAAAATTGTATAAACCACACCTTTTAGCAACGACAATAGTCCCTAGCAATGACTTTTGTCGTGTTTATAAGCCTTGTTTCTTGTCGTGATTTGTATCGCCCAACCCACTAATTGATTGAAACAGATAGGATTTCAAAACAAAACTTTGTTTTTATTCATAATTCAAAAGCAATAAAGTCTGTTTTGTGGGCAGTAATATGTTTATAACAGATAATCGTAATTTATTTCACGTTTGAGCTCCCGACTCAAACGTAATTATCTTTGTCGTTCAAATCCTAATTAACCAACCGCTTCATTCAAAAGCGTAAGACCCAACCTACGTATAATAAGCATCAAGAACAGAAAATACGAGTTCAAAAATTTATACCTCTGATAGGCAGTATGCAAGACAGCAACAAACGGTGGCTAGGACAGAGAGTCAATGGAAGGGGCGTTGATTGTAGACGAGGTAGTGAACGACAAGAAAGAGGATGTTGGATTTTACGACTGGATTTGAAGAAAGAGTTGATGAAATCGGAGTTTATTTGAGAGAGGGGCTGAAAAAGTCTTTTTCACGGCTTAACAAAAACAGCAAGCCCCAGATGGCTAGTGATCAAGCGATTAGCTTAATCAATAAGCCACATACAAACATTTAGATACGATTTAACAAATAAGGCTTCCAGACCATTAAACCATAAACAAACATTCTTTAAAACCTCGAGAGTCAGCTCAACCGGCAATAAGACTTGGATCCCTAGACTCCTCACATACGGTTCAAGTCATTACAAGGCCACCGAGGGATTTTCCTGACCATCTTGATCCTCAAAGGCCGCTAGGATTAATCGAGCTAACCCGAACATCTATGGTTAAAAAAACACATTGTAAATCCCAGATGAGGTACAATCACTCATGCATAGTATACAACTCATCCCAGCACACACCAAGCCATTCTAATATTCACATAAAAGACCCATAAATAAAAGAAATACGGTTTCAACAAAGGGAAAACGCTCAGTGCCTTTAGATTTTTCATGGACGGCGTCGTTTTGTTATATTTCCATATTCCCTACGAGATACACCTCATTGAGTACATCGCCACTGGGGAATCAACTGCGGGCGCACCATACACTCTGGGATGGTCACTCTCCAAACCATAATCCATCATCGGCCGGTACTCAAGATCTTCATCGTGATCACGCACAAATTCCGGAATCTCGATCGCGTTTCTCCTGATTTGATCCCATAGATAATCTAATCGACTCACGTACTTTAGCTTCCCATATAACCTGCATATACACCCGCGCACACACGATTATAAATCCATCCGCTTGACGGAATTATGCAACAATAACTTGTACAGTACAAGTAGAGTTACCCTCCGGTGAAGATGAACCGGCCGAAGGTGGCCAGAAAAAGTCTCGATTGTAGATCTGGATGAACGAAGTAAACGGCCTCCAGATTCCGTTTGACGTTGATCGGAATCGAATCGTAAACAGATCGGAGGACAGAGAACCCGGGGAAATTATCGCTTTTCCGAACCTCGGTGTGGATGTAAACGATCGCAAAAGGCCTCTCCTCAAGCCTGGGGAACACCTTTTTTTCCAGATACTTGTTCAACAAATCAATACTCAAACTCCTGGCTGCAGGAACAACAACGAGTAACAAGTTTTAAAATCGTCTGATTCAACTTCAATGATCGATCAATCAATCAATCAGAGGAAAACTTTACCTGGAAAGTATTTTCCGATAATACGAAGGATTTTACGGCCGCGTTTGTCCTTGCCTTTGATTTTGAAGAGGTTGAGTTTGTCGATGAGTTTTTCTTGCTCGGATGACAGTTCCTCCGCCATGATCGCCGTCATAAGGAGAAAATTATGGTTAGATAACGAGATTTATGGTTAGATAACGATATTTATGGAGAATCTTGACAAAATTGATTCAGATAAGATGGTGATGGAGATAAGAATCGATGATTATTTATATCTTAAAAAGAGGATTCGAATAGAAAAAGTGGGAAAAGTGGGAAAAGTGAAGATGATTTGGGGATAAAATAATTGGAGCCAGAGAAGAAAATGAAAAGAAAAGATGATAACCACCGGTGATGGTGCTGCTGGTGGTGGTGGATATGCCGGAGGAATATTCGAATATTTGGACGGTTGTGATGTGGAATTGGAATCGGAGTTTGGAGTTTAGGCCGTTTGTTTGATTATGAAATCTGGACCGTTGGTTAGGATTGGGCGTGATTGACGGTTCGTGTTTTGTTTCATTGGCCGATAGTTATCGTCGGTTTCCTATAAACGAATTATTCCACTTATTACAAAAAATACTCTTATTTAATTGTACTTTTTGGTAATTTTAAAAAACAAATATAGTATTGGCCGATAGTTGTCGTCGGTTTATGATAAACGAATTATTCCACTGTAAAAGACGCGGTTTATTCTTTACTCCATTGATACTGTAATATGGTATTTTGTGATTTTAAGAAAATAATAATGTTTTTATTTTTAAATAAAATATAAATTTAAAAATTTTATAAAAATTTGATGAAAATATATTGATATTAGTATCAAATTAACTATTTAAAATTTCTCATTTTTTGTGTAATTTTTTAATTCAATTTTTTTCATTATAATTTAATTTAGATACATTAACGAAGTAATTTATATTTGGTTTAATAATATAATTTTCTTATAAAAATAATAATTAATTATTTTGTTAGAACTCGATAATCATCCAAATTATATTTTATATATTTTAAATTTTTTATATTTTAAAATGAGATGTTTATCCTCTATTTGATTATGTTTATCTGCAGTTAGTTATACGAATTCAAAATCAAGCTTTAATAAAATGTATTTATGCATAATTTACTTGTAATCTTGAGTTTTAATTAATATGCATCAATATACAATACTTTATGTATAAAAAATGGTTTTTAAAGTTTTTGTCAAATGTTTTATAATATAGTGTAGATATAAATTTTAAGAGTACATCTTTAAATTTTGTAATTTATATGAGAAGATTCTAAATCTCAAAATTTAAACGGGTAAGCTTGTTTCGAGCTTGAATTGACTTCGAGTTTAGAAAATTGCTATTGAGTTCGATCTGAGTTTAGTTTTTACTACTCGTGAACTTACGAGTCGATTATACTATTCGTACTCGACTCACATCATTTACATCCCTAATTGGGAAAGGTAGGTTTGGAAAAAACTCGACTTTCGACTCTCTGCATGAAGATCCCCCTTAAAGTTTACTTAATTAATAAGCCACTTATTATATCATTAAGGTAGCGTTTGGTACGCAGACATAATTGAACAAGACTGAACAGGACAGAACTAGACAGGATAGGACAAGAGAGTAGGATAAGACATGACAGGACAGGACAAGAGGGTAGGACAAGATTGGACATAACAGGAGTATGTCTGGTGTTTTGTACGACTAGGATTGGACAGGACAGAACTAGACAAGCTACCCCAAAAGTTATTTGATGATTTTAAATATTATATAATAGTTATAATTAACACAAATAAAATAAATAATTTAATAATTTAATTTATAAATATTTGTACATAGTTTTCATATTTGTACCAAATTTGAAAGAAAAATTTGATATAATTGATGGTAGTAGTAGTGGTGGTGGAGGTGGTTTTGGTTATGGTGGAGATGGTGGTGGCCGACGGTAGTAGTAACAACGGGCGGTGATGGTCGGTGGCCGACAGTGGTTATGGAGGTAGAGGCAGTGGTGTTTGGTGGACAACGGTGGTTATAAAGGACATGAAGATGGTAGATTGTGGTGGTGGTGGGTGGTGGCGGCTGACAATGGTGATGGAGGTAGTTGTGGTTGATGTAGTGAAGATAGTGGTGGTGGTGGTGGTTATGGTTATGGTGGAGGTGAGATGGCAATGAATGGGGGTGGCCGATGGTGGTCGTGGAGGAGGTTGTTGCAGTAGAGGAGGAGTTGAAGGTGGCGAACGGCAGTAGTGGTGATGGCAATGGACGGTGGTGGTCGATGGTTGACTATGATAGAGGTGGCAATGGACTTGGTGGACGGTAGTTGTGGAGACGGTGGAGGACGTTATAGTGGAAGAGGAGGTGGAGGTGAAGGTGGCCGCCGGTAGTGAAGGCGGCGGCCGAAACTAGTGGTGATGACCATTAAAACAAATATCATATTAATAACTAAGGTAGATTAGTAATATTTTAGTTTATGTCCTATTCTTGTCTCATCTTGTTCCACCTATTTTGGTGGAACAAGAAAAACCCTCTTTTGTCTCATGTTGTCCCACCTTGTCACAGTTCTTGTCTCTGTCCCATGTCGCGCCAAACGTGGGATAGTGGGTTCTTGTTCTGTCCCATGTTGCACCAAACATGGAACAGTGAGTTTTGTCCTGTCCTGTCATGTCCCGTCCCATGTACTATATCATGAGAGCCTCTTAATCATTCTGACCACTTAATCATTCTGCACCAAACCATTCAGCAACTGCCAAACAGCCCCTAAGTCATTACCAAACAATTTGATCGAATAAGTTGGGAGTCTCATTAAACTTATTAAGCTAATAACAAGCATGCCCTAAAAATGGAAACGAAAGCTAAAACTCAACAGCAAAAACACGTAGTCCAAAACTAGTTCTGAGTAGCGCAAAAAATTGTGGTCAATGTTGCCAAATCGAACCACAACTACCCACTGAGATCTTGACCTTCATACCAATCCAACCAAGAAATGTTAAAACTATTGGCTATTTTAGAAATCTAATAAAACATAAAGAGTTAGAGCTCAAATAGACGATCATGATCAAGATTTCCCTGATTAAAAACGACCAGATAATTATTTCCAAATCAAGTAAAAAGCCGCCTTGATCTTGAAACGAAATTGATCTGTATATTTAACCAATTTCAATATAATAATTTTTTAAATAATTGTGGGTTTTGAGGTCAATTTACACGCAACAACTAATCTTCGAGTGACTACGAATGACCTGAAGTCATCGCAGGTGAACATATATCTTCACATGGCCTTTGACATCGCTTGGATTCTAACCCGGGCAACGCCATCCTGGGGACGGCACAGGCGCATGCCCAGGGCCTAAAAATATTAGGGGCCCAAATTTTTTACTTAGTGTATAGTTATGGTAAAATAATACATTTAGAGACACAAAAATTTGTAACATATAATAAGTGACAAAAAATTTAAGAGATAATAAGGCCCCAAAAAATATAATAACTAATAATATGAAGAAATTAAAAAAAAAAAATTGGTCGTGCGTTATATGCTATTGCTTATGGCTTCTCTAATATTTTTTTATCTAATACCAAAGTCTAATACCATTGGCTATTGCATCTCTATATATTTGACTGTTTTCGTTGTTCAAGAGTTCAACAGATAACAACTTTAAGCTCATGAGTTTGTTATTGCTATATGTTTTTGTTGCACATTTCTTTATATATTTCTGCTTCTGTTGATTATTGTTATTTTTTATGTGTTTGTGAAATTGTTTTTGTTGGCTATCGTTATCTATTTTTACTTCTACATAATGTATTGTACTATTGTTTGACGATCTATCTATTGTTGGTAATGAGTTATGTCATGAGTTATGTCGTGTGTCATGGTTTTGTGATTAATTAATAAATTTTATGTACTAAATGTATTCAATAATGCATTTTATATATGTCATGTTTCATAAACTTTTAATCTTAACATCTTTTTTTTAAGTAGAGTAAGAAAAGAAGCAAAAATGGGAATCCAAATATTTGCATCAATTGTTTGACTTCTTCATTTTTCATTGCAATTTCCACTACACACCAAAAGATACTTTTTCAAGTAACCATTCATTGAGCTTGGACATTATAAGTCTTATTCATTATCTATTGTGATTGCATCTCAATGAATCATCTTTGATACTCATTTCTTTACTAGTCTAGAAAACCTTAATAATCTTCTCATTCGTTGATCTCTCGTTGACTATCTTGATTACTCAAAATGTCTCTCAAATTTTAATCAAAATGACAAGTTTTTCATATTTGTAACTTGAAATTGGTACAAAGCAGTACCAACATGTACCAATCGAAAAAAAGTTACAAGTTGGTTAGTATAAAATTTTATATACAATTGTAATTGGTTAATACACAGTATTAAAGAAAAAAAAAACTTGGTATCATACCAAATCCACCACCACTTTTATAAATGTTATAATATTTTGTCATATAACATAATAAAAAATTTATGTTTTAATTAAACATATTATATTCTTTTTCACATGAAGAAAAGTAAGTGTTGTTTGTTTACTTCTTAATAGTTACATTAAGAGGCAGTCTCTGAATCGTTAAGAGGTGAATCTTGTTTGGCTAAAAAAAAAGTCTGTCTCTGAATGGTTCTAAAACTCTCTGAATGATTTTGTATCTTTGGTCTCCCTTAACCATTCAGCATCTTAATTTCATTGTAAACAATCATCGAACAATTATACTCTATTTTGCACTATATCATAAGAGCCTCTTAATCATTCTGATCACTTAATAATTTTGCACCAAACCATTCAGCAACTGTCAAACAGCCACTAAATAAATACTTGTGTATAAATAAATATCAAGATTATTGATACCAAATAAATTTAAAATAAGTGTATATAATGATAGACTTGCATAACGTTAGTTATTGCTTGCTTAATGATTAAGTACATATTCCGTCCATTTAACGCGTCAACTTAATGATTTCATACTTAATTTGTAGTGTTTGAATCCATTTTTAGGTGATTTTGGCTCAAAACCGGTTTAACTTTGAGAGCAGTTAACGACTACGACCACCTCCAACCGTCTTGTAGGTGTCGCTCCATAACATCCCCCAACCGCAATTATGTGGCACTTTATTGCATCATTTTTGTGTGCGTGTTTGTGTTTGATGTTACTTTTCGAATTCCAGTCTTGAAAATTCTATAGTTACCAAAAAAATATATGAAAAATATGACACCACACACATTGTCTAAGACACATTTTATATATATATATATATATATATATATTACTCGGTGTTTAAAAACTCGATCTAATATAAATTCTTATTTATCTGATGGA